TATTCAACTTGCTGTCTACCACGACCCCCAGATCCCTCTCTTCTAGGCTGCTCTCCAGCGTCTCATCGCCCAGTCTGTACGTGCAGCCAGGGTTTCCCCGTCCCAGGTGCAGGACCCGGCACTTGCTCTTATTGAACTTCATGCGGTTGGTGATCGCCCAGCTCTCCAACCTATCCAGATCCCTCTGCAAGGCCTTTCCACCCTCAACAGAGTCCACAACTCCTCCAAGTTTGGTGTCATCAGCAAACTTGCTCAAAATACCTTCTATTCCTACATCCAGATCATTTATAAAAATATTGAAAAGTACCGGCCCTAAAATGGAGCCTTGAGGGACCCCACTAGTGACCGCCCGCCAGCCTGACGCAGCGCCATTCACCATAACCCTTTGGGCCCTGCCCGTTAGCCAATTGCTCACCCATCGTATGATGTTTTTATTTAGCTGTATGGTGGACATTTTGTCCAGTAGGATCCTATGGGAAACCGTGTCAAAAGCCTTGCTGAAGTCCAAAAAAATCACATCAGCTGGTTTCCCTTGGTCCACCATACGGGTGATCTTATCATAAAAGGAAATCAGGTTAGTTAGGCAGGACCTACCCTTCACAAACCCATGCTGGCTGGGACCAATGACTGCTTTGTCCCCCAGGTGCGCCTCAATACGTTCGAGAACCATCTTCTCCATGATTTTACCAGGCACTGACGTGAGACTGACAGGCCTGTAATTGCTAGGGTCTTCTTTCTGACCCTTCTTGAAAATCGGCACAACATTTGCCAGCTTCCAGTCTACCGGGACCTCTCCAGACTCCCAGGATCGTTGAAAAATAATTGAGAGAGGTTCCGCGATGACGTCCGCCAGCTCCTTCAGCACCCGGGGATGAATCCCATCTGGACCCATGGACTTGTAGGGATCCAGGTGGAGTAGCAAATCCCGCACATGTTCAGGGTCGGTTGGGAGTTTGTCATCCCCACCGTCCCGGTCCTCCAGCTCAGGGCACCCTGGGTCCCGAAGCCCATCATCGGCATTGAAGACAGAGGCAAAGAAGGCGTTAAGCGTCTCTGCTTTGCCTATGTCATCGTCTGTGAGGAGACCTTCCCTATCAAGGAGCGGCCCTATGCATTCTTTGGTTCTCCTTTTTCCATTCACATATCTAAAAAAACCCTTTTTATTTTCTCTCACAGACACAGCCAGCTTCAACTCTAGGTGTGCTTTAGCCACACGAATTTTCTTCCTACAAACACGAACAGCATCCCTGTATTCTTTCCATGTCACTTGGCCCTCCTTCCAGTAGCGAAACACTCTCTGTTTCCGCCTAATCTCCATAAGAATGTTCCTGGTCAGCCACGCCGGCCTCCTGCCGCGCCTGCTTGACTTGCGATATTTAGGAATTGCCTGATCTTGTGCTTCTAGGAGGCATCGCTTAAAGAATGACCAGCACTGGTGGACATCAAGGCCTTCAAGAGCAGCTTCCCAGGGGACCTTGCTGACTATTTCCCTGAGCAGCCTGAAGTCCGCCTTCCCCATATCTAGGGATGAGGTTTTGGTGGCACTTTTCCTTCTGTCACCGTATGTATTAGTTGGACACCATTGCTTGATGACATATATCCCCTGATGGGCTTTGTATTCTCTGTAAAAGATGATTTTTGCAACATTACAATTGTGTAGTATGGATTTCCATTCTTATATTCACCAAATTTTGCCTCTGATAGAGTTGCACTGACAACTGTTACTTTACAGAAGTAGTAGTCCTCCTGAATGCTTATCAGAAATGAAAATATCTAAAATCATGAAGTTTAGTTTTCAATGTTATAGGGAAAATTCTAAATTTCATTTTTAGGTAACAAAAAGAAAATAATGATTTAGATGAATGCTGTATTACTTCTGAGGATTTTCATAAACAAAACTAAATGCCGAGGTTAGACATTTCTGTTGAACCAAAGTTATTAATACAGTATTTTCCTACCAAGCACCTCCAGCTGCAAGCAAAAGATATCCAATATATTGGCTTTACTTTACCTCATGGTGCATGCAAAAACTGGGTGGTGCATAGAAAGGGAATGATTATTGGCACAAACAGAGGAAGCTATAAATCTTCAGATCATACACAAGACAGATTGGAACAATATAAGCTCTCTTAGTTTTCTAAGATAATGTACTGAATAACTCTCTCTGGGCAAATAGGAAATCTGTTTTCAATTTCTTCTACTTCTAAGCAAAAACATAATTTATGGTAAAAGGAGATTTCTTTGTGGGAGTTTCCAACCAAAAATTAATGTTAGTCTCTCATCAGAAAACATTGTTTGAAAACCAGGAGAGTTTTTTGTTACAGTCACTGCTCAGGATGCTGTCTTGCATCCTGAGAACAGCAAAGACAGAAAGAAAGGATAATGCCTAAATAACTCAAAATCAGAGTGCTAAAATGAACACATGGTGCAGATGCCTTCTGACACTTCCAAAATAATCAGTCCTGATGCTCAAATGCAAGTGTATTTGACAGCCAAATGTTTTATTTTCACTGAATCAGATTGGTATGAAACCGTACTGAATGAGAATCATAGCAAGAGTGAATTATTGTTCCAAATGCAGCTGCTTTTAGTGGGAGTTTTTTTGGAGTAGAAGACCTCTGGAGGTCATTTCCAACCTCATGTATCCTGTAATCTTGCAATCCTATGAAAATTTCTTCTGTAATAGATTAACTTGGGCTACAACCTCTGTGTTCTGTAGTTTTTCTCCTTAGTTAGTCCATATTTTCAAAGGTATTGAACATCTTTTCAGAATCTGAACTTTTTTGAAAAATTCTAGTTACATTGATGTATTTGATTCATTAATGCATGAACATTCATCCATTTGATAGGGCGGGAATCTTAGTGCTTGAAATAATATCTTCTCCTATATTAAAGGCTATTATCCTCTGATCAGACTGTATGCACAATAATACATGCACACACAGTGCCAGCAGCTCAGGTGATTTGATCCCTTAGGGAAACTGAGGAAAGGTGCTTCTCAGACTGGGAATTCAGGCATGGTTTTATGCAGCACAGAGGCTGCTGGAAATTTTGCCAAGCTCTAAAGATCCCAGAAGAAACCTCTGGGACTTTTTGCACCAAAAAGGTATGAGCTAATATATTTTGTCTTGTTTTCTGATATTGTGCTTACTATGTCATAAAACAGTAAGGCTTGAAGTTAGGGATTTTGTGCTTTGAAGTGCTTACAGTCTGATAAGCATACAGTGTTTTGTATACTTCTGCACCAAAATCTTAGGTTAAGATTGAGCTAAATCTTGGTGAATCCAAAGCTGACAATCCAGGTAGCTAGTTTAGCAATAAAAGTTCATAGTATCGAATTCTATGTTAAATATCTCATATCAACATATATTTTTTTCCCTGTCAAAAGGAATTAAAAGTATATTTTTTTGGTGGTTACTATGACTAAAATTATATCCAAGGCCTGGTGATGTCACTGAGAACTCATACAAGAGGAGTGTTTGAAATTATCATATTTCTAAGTAAGCCTTTTAAACTGTCCTACGCTGTTTATAGAAGTGGTAGTAGTAGAACAATACCATAAAGTGTGCTGGGCTGGTCTGATACTGTGTTTTGCTTTCCTAGCGACCACCTGAGCCAATGCAAAAGTAACAGTACAGTGATGGTAATATTATTTACACCATGATATATGCTGTTGATTTATTCTCTGCTCAGCATCATTATCCTTTTTCCAATGAGTTCTGTGCAATTTTCACACACATTTCATCAAGCACCAAATTATGAAGCAAGAATAGGCCCATTACATTAATAACCATTGCTGCCACCTGTTATTTGTTGTTTCCAGCCTATGGGCTTTCTGCATTACTGAGTTGTCCACAGAATAATTGTGAAATAAGTGAGGGTTGGGCAGTCTATTTTTTCCCTTTGAAATACCATGCTTCAGATTTGGCAGCTCAAGTGGTTGTATATGTTTGTGAAATTATGTCTCTGTAAGCATTTGTGTGTAGACCATATGGCTGTAATGAAGCTGTTTTTCTTAGTTCGGTAATTGTCTGTATCACCTTGTCCATCCTCCCGACTTCTGTAAGCAACGCGATGACTGGAAATATTAGCACTAGGCATATCAAAATCACCATCTGTCATAAAACAGTAATGGAGTAATGTCACAAAACAGAGTAATGGAATATGGGTTGAGTTTATTCCGTGAAGGAAACTGAGAGACAATGTAGGATGTTCTAATCAAGAAAATTTTGGACTTTGCTTTACAATATTAAAGGAACAATGATCCATTAAGTCAGGAAGAGTGCAATTTCCTAGACCTGTTCCTCAGCTTCTTGTATAATTCAAGAATGTATATGTAGGTATGTGCTTCCATCTTGCATAGTCAGATACATCTGTTCAGTATAAATGGAAAAATGTGGAGTACCTTTATAACCTTATTTCAAGCTTTGGTTCTTTAATCAATCTATTGCAATAGTGTGTTAATTAATGATTTCTTATTGTAATGTATTCTCCCTGTAGGATTTACAGCAGGATTATTTTTTTTTTTATTTGCTTATGGCCTATAATTGGCAAGCTTTGTGCTGCCTTCATTGGCCAAACTGTCAGCTTTCAACTGTGGAAAAAAAAAATAAATAAAATGTAATAGTATCTCTCGGTAAAGGAGGCAAAGATTTTTAAAACATATGTGTAAAATAGAGAAATATGACTGAAATGGGCCTGTTATTAGGTATATTAATAGCTAATAAATATGTATATAAATGATGCCACTTGCTCTTAAATGGGCTTGACCAAATGGTTTGTTGATAATAATGTTTGCAGATGAAAATGTGTATGTATTATGAATTGCAAATCACCTTTTGGAATTGATGTTTTATTTTTTCTGACTTTGTGGAATTAGGTGTTAAAGAAATGTCAAGATGACTAATACTCTTTTGGCCAAAAAATTACTGTTTTATTCTTTGCTTTCTTGCTTGCTTGTTTTACTTTCTTTGTGAAAGTAACTGATTTTTCTGTAACAGGCACATAGTTGTCTGTGGTCACATAACACTTGAAAGTGTGTCCAACTTCCTGAAGGACTTCCTGCACAAGGATAGGGATGATGTCAACGTAGAAATCGTCTTTCTGCATAAGTGAGTATTTTCAATATAAATCCTATCACATGTTAATAAAGCTCATTGAATTTAGTAATATGTCGTGGGGGAAGATATAGGACCTTTCAAACTCCAAACAACTGTAAAATGAATATATGCAATTTCATTTTTCTTTTTTTTTTTTTTTTTTTTTTTTTTAACAATACAAGGCATTTTTAAGAAAAAGTATTTTTGTGCAATTGTTTTATAATGCATTGCTAAGCCCACTTGTAGGAGTATTTCAAGCAAACAGACTTCAGAGCCAGTCATGTCAACCATGGTTTGGATATCTCAAGTAGGAGTTTAATTATGAGAAAAAAAATATATAGTGAAATACTAATAAATAGATGTGAGAGTTCTTTAGCATAAGATACTTATTTGAAACTAGCATAATTGCTAAAATCTGCAAAACTAGTGAAAAATGCTGTATGTTGTATGAACTTAGGCTCTCTGAAAATATTTTTTCACTTTTCATTTCACTAGGAAAAAGTGCATATTTTGTATTGAACAAGATTTATAAAAAGAAACGTGTGGGCACAGAAATAGTTTTAGTGTGTATGTAGTAGTTTTAATGTGTAAAGTAATGTAATGCATTACTTTGTAGTGAAGGTAGAAGAGAAATTCTTGTCACCATACTTGGTACTGTTCTTTTACCCTACATACCTACACATGCTGTCTCTTGCATTTTTTTTTCCACAGTGAAAATCATGGTGATAGGAATTGCAAAACTTTATTATGCATATAAAGGGAGTTCAGCACCTGTCTACTTTTTTGTGCCTGCTTTTTTTATTATTTATTTTTATTCCTCCGCCCACCCCCAAAAAATATTTGTATGTATCTGTTTTATTTGCTTATTAATTTAACATCTGGCATCAGAATGGTCTCATGTACCTGTAACATAGCTATTTAAGAAAAGTATTTCCAAGGTTGTGCCCTTGAAAATATAATATAATATAATAGATGCTCTTCGATTTAGTCATGCATTTATGGCAGAATGAAATAAGACAAAGTCAGAGCAAAATCGTTTGTTTTAATTCTAGTTCTTACAGGCCACGAGGGTCCCGATGGGATTCCTTTCCTGGATTTTAGTGATTTCGCATTGAGCTCTCTTATTTGATGCAATCAACCATTTTGAGAGTGGTAGGTGCAGAGGATTGTTGCATTAGCAGATGATTTCTATGGAAAATGTTGTGAGAGGATGTTTTTAAATTTTTGCACCAGTTCTTCTGGATTCACATATGTGAGAAAGTGACAAATGATGAACATGCAGAGTGGCACAATTAAATGGGCCAGATGTGCCGTAGACAGAAGAGAGGAAGTATAAGCAGTATAGTATTTGTCTTTTAAGTACTACATGCTGTTTCTACACCACAGAAAAAGCATCAGCAGAAGTCTGAGCACCTAATAAATAAATGGGTCAGTTTATAAATAAATGAAGTAAACTGGGACTGTTATGGAAACTAAATTCTTGTTTGCTCTTGTGTTTTCTTCCTCTTCTCGATGCAGTATCTCCCCTAACCTTGAGCTGGAGGCTCTCTTTAAACGACACTTCACTCAGGTGGAATTTTATCAGGGTTCAGTCCTTAATCCCCATGACCTGGCAAGAGTGAAGGTAATAGCTCTTTTGTTCTGTTCTCCTGCTACCTGACTTTTATTTAATTACTCATTGCATTATTTTAATAAAATAATATCTAAAAAGTGATATTTTTATTCAGATGCTCCCCAAAAAATGTTTTTTCCTTTTGTATTAGCTTGTCTAATGAATTACAATATTACAGTATCAGTCCTTCTGTCCATAAACCTTGTTTTCTATATATCTTTAGATCTTCAAAGCTACAGTAATGCTGTTACTTAAGAAACATTGTATGCCATTCTATTGAACTCTTTATGAATTTTTCATTGGGTTTAGTTCAAGTCTATTTAACATTAATGTTTGATATAATAGGACATTGTCTTACTGTAATTGTTTAAAATGCTCCTTCATCAGAACAATTAGAAAATTATTTTTCACCTGTCAAATCCTTTTTCTATTGTCTAGAATCCTGATAAAAATACAACTTAAGATACGTGGTAGTTAGAATGAGGTAGTTCATTGTCTAGAACTCTCTGTAGTAAATTCTTTTGTACTTTTAAAGAAAAGCATGAAGGCTAAAGCAAAAAAAAAAAAATAAAATAAAAGAATGGAAAGCTATATCTGTCAGATAGAGCACCACCTTGGTTTTTTCTGTTTTTGTTTTTTTTTTTTTTAATTTCCCTCACATGGAATGTAAACCAACTACTTAGGCCAATAAGGTTTTAATGCAGCGTTAGCACTTTCTGGAGTAGTAATCGTGTCTTCTGCCCAATTTGGCTACAGAAACTGCTTAACCTTTTGTAGCCCAACACATACTGTGTTTCAGTTCATTAGTGTTCTCATTATGACCATGAAGTTGTATACTGGTATTTTGTTCTCTGTTACACCATTTTTTTGTGTTGATATTTGGTTGTATACAATGAAAAAATCTTTTGTCATCTTCTTTTAGTTAAATAGGGCTAAGGTTTGCATGAACATAGAGGTCCTGTGAACAGATAAGTTCTCTCGTCCTTGTGCTTCCTGAAAACTCGTGCTCAGATCCTAAATCATAGGTTCAGCCATCTCTTCCTTTCTCTAATAAGAAGATACTTAAATTCCCAAACAAAACTGCAAGACTAGTGGGAGCACTGTAGTACTATAACAGGAACTTCCTATGGATTTAGGGGTCTAAATTTCAGTATCTGATTACAAAATATATTAAAATTAAAATTATTATATTAAAAGATATAAAAAATAAAAATAAATAAATAATAATAAAATATATAGAATTATAATTATTAAATTAAAGGATATTAAAACTTACGTGCTTTAGCTTATACAACATAGTAGTAATGAATGAAACTATCAACCTGATCTGAGCACCATTATCAAGCTTCAATAAATTGCTATGTGTATATGAAAGCTGTTGCCATCACCCACGTTGCTTATAAAATCTTGTAACACTTTTTCTTATTAATATTATGACACACAATCAGGATGGCAGTGTTGGAATCCCTAATACTTTATCATGAACAAATAGCTGAAAACAGAGGTTGCTAATTATTTTTCTTTTTCTTTGGTGTCTCAGATAGAGTCAGCAGATGCGTGCCTAATTCTTGCCAATAAATACTGCGCTGACCCAGATGCTGAAGATGCCTCCAACATTATGAGGTAATGTCATTAATTTTTAATTCTTAAATTTGATTAGCCAACTGGTGTTCAAATAGGCCATATCCTCTACATATAGCTTTATTGCTGATCTGAAGGTCAATGCTGATAAATTACCCTGAAGACCGTTTCAGAGTTTTCTTAAGGGGGGGGCAAATTTTAAGATGTCTCAGAATCTCAGAGATGAGAATACCCTTAACTTCCTGCCTAAACTGTTTTAATTTAGCTTATAGCATGTCAGAAAAGAAAATTATGATAAGAGGAAAAACTGAACCAAAAGTGAAATCTGAAATCAGAGTATTTGTTTTGGACTTTGTACATGTATATTGGCCGTTTTTTCTCATTTACAATATCTTTGCATATTCAGATATTTGATTGCTCTTCTTCCAGCATAGTTCAACTGTAATTGTGTAAACAACTAACAATTTATGTATTCCTCTCTGCTAAGTCAATGAAGGAATCACACAGATTTGAATTTCTCTCTCTTTTTTTTTTTTTTTTTTTTCCAGGAATGGCCTGTAAATCTCTATTTTCATGGTGTAGGTAAAAATGCATCCTTTCAAAAGCGACATGAGAGCTTTATGTAGCGCCTTTTCTATTTCTTTGTTATAACCACTTACAGGTCATGTTACAGTACTAGTTCTCAGAATGTTACAGTACTAGTGCATCCAGAATAGAATCAGCTGCAGTTATTTGGCTTGTGATTACTGTTGTGTTCCTACAGCAGAGTAATTTACTAATGTTCTCCAAATCCACTGGCAGGCAGCATCTCTCTTCTGGATCTTCATTGCTTGCTGTGTTTGTTACTTTAAGAACTCATTTTTTCTAGATGTCATGGTGAGGGATGACATGGCCACATGGAGCATAAGCTTTGGTACTCTTTGTCATTTTGTAAACCTTAGAGTTTAAGTATTCATAACTATGCACAGGAGCAACAGACGTGAAAGGAAAGAAAAAGTCATTGTGCTGCTGCAACAATAAATTACATAAATACATGCCCTGCAAGGGCTGGTGTCGACAACGGGACAGAAGGACCTTTGATCACCTCATACCTCATTGCTCCTCAGTAACTCCAATATCCCAAATAATCACACTACTTGGGGAAAGTGAGGTATAAACTTCATGATAGCAATGATACAGTGGTCTCCAAGACCCATCCTCCTTTTTAACACTGAAGACCAACATTGCTTAATGATAACAAGTCGCTTATTCTATTAGGGGTCACCAAAGCTTGTCCTGCTTCCTCCCTGTATTCTCTGAAGGAAAAGGATTAAAGGATCAATTAGTGGATGGTAGCTAATGGATGTGAATGGTAGAGTTAAACTAAAACTAAGTCATTCCATTTTTTTTGTGTTTTGTTCATAAAATCTTAGTTTTAATGAGACCAGTCTGACCTTTTAAAAATTAAAATGTCAAAGATCTGTTAAAAAATTCTCAAACAAAATTCTCAAACAAAATTGACCAGTTTTATTTGTCAGATGTTTGCATTCTAGGATTTGAAGGAAATAGGAGAAATAAAAAAAAAAATTAATAAAGCTGCTTCTCCAGAAGAAGTTCATTTGCACAAGATACCTGGGTGTCTGTGGAAGGGGCAGGGTTTATATATGCCTAATGTTATTTTTCAGTCATGCTTTTGTGTTTTAATGCAAAAAATATATTTTCCATGTTAGTTGCATACATATATTAAAAGTATTTCAGCTGCAGATTAGTGCATTCTTAACACATTTAATACCTTTAATACATTAAATGTAATAAAATGCAAAAGTGTAATTTCAAGACTGGAATTCTCTTGTGTCTTCTCACATTTAAATGAATTTAATTCAATTAAATTGAATATTTAATTGAATAATTCAGAAAGAAATGGAAAATTAATAGGAATAAATGTTTTGTCCTTTTAAAAGATGATGTAAATTGAAATAATGAATACCTTTTTTTTTCCTCTTTCTTAAGTTTGATCATACAGAACATGGCTTGTTTCTTTCATTAATTTTACTGCATGTCTTTCATTCTCTCTTCCTAACACATTATCAATCTATTCAGTTCTACAGCATTTTTATTCCAGCCATATCCAATCTGTACACAGCTGAATATATGTTACCCTCATTAAATAACGAAGAATAGCTGCAATAGCTGCAGATTATGGAAGTAGACCTATCTGTTATAAATTCAGAGCTCAGACAGCAATTTCAATATCGAGCTTAGTAATAATGCAGAAAAAATGAAGATGAACTTGCACTTGGATTCATGTCAAATAAAATCATCATTCAAGGTGTTTAAATATTATAGAAGTCTAACAACTAAAAACAAATAATTTGTTCTCTAGTATTACTTGACGGTTGTTAAACGAACTTGACTAGACGTAAATTTTGCATATGTTTAACTTCGATTATTATGCTTTACAGCCAAACACGAGTACAGTTTTAACTGTGGGATTTGACAACACATTGATATGCTGGGATACAATGTCCAAATATCCCACCAACTAAATGTTACTTTAATCATATATTTATTTTACTTTCAGAGTTATATCAATAAAGAATTACCATCCGAAGATAAGAATTATCACCCAGATGTTGCAGTATCATAATAAGGTAATGTGATAACCAGTAGTGTATCTCCCCACAGGTTTTAGTTGCTTTGTGTTTTGCTACCTTGCACTCATACACTATTTTTTCTAGCTTCACTAACAGTAAGCATTTTTCTTTCCAAACACCCTAATAAGCCTTGTCACATAATCCAGTTACAAGGTAATTCAATTTTATTTATATATGCAAGTGACCTTATCAAAATTCTCTGACATTTATTAACTACCTAGGATATAATTCTCAAAGGTACAGTGTCCATACTTGCTATTGATTCCAGGTGAACTTTTAACCATTCAGAATCCATAAATTTTGTCAAGCTTATTGCACTAGAGCTACCTGAAATGAACTGGTGGTTTCTAGGCAAGTCAGCTCTTGTGGAAAGTCAATTCTTTATGGATAGTTACAAAAAAAACACACATGGAATTATAGTCTTATTAACCATTTATAGTTAATTTATATTTCTTAAACGGCAATGTGGATCTGTAATTGTCAAACTGCAGGTTCAAAAAAATAAAAATAATTAAGGTGAAAATTAAGGCTCACTCAGATGTGAGTATGGGCCTGCCAGAGTGTCACAGCCACATATATGTATCTAGAACATGGCTTGAGAAATGTGAAATTTTTTCTGTTATAATAATATGTATAAAAGATTGGAGTGGTGCTTAGCATATAACTAATTTTTAAGTAGTTAAAGTAATTTTCCCTAGTCAGAAAAATAAATAAACAAATAAATAAAGCCAGTAACAAAGTCATTCACTTCTATCTCCTTCATTACTGTACTTTATTTACAGAAGCATTTCTGCCTCTTCACCTGTGGAGTTTATTTTTATTTTTATTTTATTTGTTTCATTTTATTTTATTTTCTTCAGGCCCATCTACTAAATATCCCAAGCTGGAACTGGAAAGAAGGGGATGATGCAATCTGTCTTGCGGAGCTTAAGCTGGGTTTCATAGCCCAGAGCTGCCTGGCACCTGGCCTTTCAACAATGTTAGCCAACCTTTTCTCTATGAGATCATTCATAAAGGTAATGCCTTGTCTCATTACAATGTTTTAGTCTGCAATTCAGTTTGTCAGAAAGTTGTATAGAGAACATGGCTCAAATATGCAACAGAGAGGAACACATTAACAACTTCTGTTAAACAAACAAAAAAAAGCAAAAACAAACAAAGAAGAAAACACCACACACTTGCATGCAAAAGATCCCTGCTGCAAATTGAGAAAACTGTCAGGTTCTGTCAAAGTTATGTTTTTGTTTTTATTTGGAAAGTTTGGTGTTAAAAAATTGTTCAAACTATCATCCATTTCAAGGGGGATAATTCTGGTGTTTTGTGTTTTGCTCTGCTTTAAACAAACTATGTGTTTATCTATGAGAAAAGTCCCTTCTGCTAAAACAAAAATGTGATTTATATATGTCCCATATGGCAAAAAAAAAAAAAAAAAAAAAAAAAAAAGTGCCCAGAAGAAAGGACTGATCATTTTGTTCTTTTACATCAAGTGGATAGCGGACCTTTGACTGTGAGAGTAAATAAGAAATGCGTTGGAACCAAAGGCTAAACATCCTACAACTTCATTTGTGTTTCCTCTCAGTAAAAGAGGTTTTTCAAACTTAACTGGCAAAATTTTAATGCGGTTATTTTAGACATCTGTGGTAATTGGACTAAGGCCTTGATTGAAGAAGTCAGTGCTTCTCTCATGCTTCCTTCCCCTGTCTGGGACAGTAATTCCAAATATCAAGGATGCACAGTTGTTATTAATAGGACAAGAAACACTGAAGTACAAGGAAGGCCATTTCAAGTCCATTGTGCTAGTTAGCAAGGGAAACAAACAAAAAAAACAACAACAAACAAACAAAAACACGAAGAAATACCAACATAAAGCCTAATGTTATCAGGTGAGAAAGGCAGGACTGTTCCACAGAAGTGCGCATTTCATTGTAGAGTAGTGAATCTTTATTCACTTCTCAGGAAGTCCTGAAATTCTTATTAAGGTGTTCTTTGGAATCCTCCTGGTAATGGAGACCACAGATTCTTGTGACTACTACATACTGTCAAAAAATGCCTATTTGCAATATGGAAATAAAAATAAATCTGGGCTTTGCAGTTTACTGTCTGCAGTTAGGCTGCTTGCATCTTTATTTACGTTCAAGTAAAAAAGCTGTTTTAGTTCAGTAAAGCCAAACTGGAAAACTGTCCATGATTCATCATTAATTCTTTCTACTTATATCCTGAAGAAAAATCAATTTTTTGTGAAATTCATTCAGGTCATGCACTCTCAAATTAGTGTGGCAAAGTTTTCTGTGAACTTGCTCTTGATGTCAGAAGTAGGTCAAAAACTTTTGTTCAGCTTCTCTCTTCCAAAATCTTTTATCTCCAAGAAAATCCAGTATCTTCAGAATCCCCAGCCTTAATGCAAGTTACTTTAATGATGAAATTCAACTTGCAGTGAGGAAAAAAAAAAAAAAAAAAAAAAAAAAAAAGAAAAAGAGAGAGATTCAGAAAGCGTCTGGCTTTGGGGAACTGTGCCAGAGACACACACTTATGGTCTGGATTTGAACTTAAAATATTTATACAAGTCAAAAAATGCAAAGTTAAAGGTAACAACTTTCCAGAAAATGTCTCTGACCACTTACACCAGTATCTTACCATCTTCAACCCTATATTATTTTATAAAATAATCTTATAATAATTTCCATGCATTGGGTTGTTTCACTGATGAACGGTTTTAAGCTGAATACTCAGTTTTGCAAAGCACTTTGCCCCTTTGCTGAGGTAGAAACCATCCCAGTCTTCTAATGGGATCTATCTAATGGGTTAAGACAGTCTGCATTTTATTGATTGTGATTGCTTCTATATGTACAGAATAAACATAAAAATAACAACAAATTTGATTTAGAGGAAGGTATCAATGTCAGTTTTGTTCTTGTATCTGTGATTATATGCAGCTATAAACAGAGTAGCATGCAGACATACCTTAAATTGTGTTACTTCAGGTGGCACTAACAGAATGCTGTCAAATACTGCATCGGTAGAATGCAAGACTCTGCTAGTGTTGGTTAAAAATTTTGCTATTTAATTAAGAATGAGTTATCCAGTTATGTAAAATTGATGTAATCATTTTCAAAGAACTCTGAGTGTTAAAATCTAAAGTAAAATAAACATAGAGGAACTGAGAATATACTCCTTTATATTATAATTCAACTCAATTGGTGATAGCAAAAGGTTTCTTTTTTTATTTAACTGAAAGGATATTCTTTCTGCAAACTATGTCACTCCAAAAGCTGTGTTTGAAAGAGAAAGCTGTTACTAAGTGGTGGTTGTGCTTAAAGAGAGTATTGTAGAAGAGCAGTTAATTGGAATTATTAAGGAGGGTTCTATTGAAAAGAAAGATGTACGTTCCCTAAAAGGACTTCCAATTTTTTTCATTTAAAGTACTGAATTTACGTGCTGTCAGACCTTCATAAATTCCATGAGCCATTAGTATAGTCTCACACAAGATAGGAGATTGCCAGGGAGATTTACTGAAATTTCTCTCTCTCTCTCTCTCTCAAAAAAAAAAAAAGTTTGAAATGTGTGTTTGTTCCTCCTTCTTTTAATGTGATTCAAAAGTCATTTAATGTGCCATAAATGCTTGGGCAGTCAAACAAAAGCGAACATGATTGATGGTGACATTGCACACATTTAACTCATTATATGTTACTTTACAACTAAATGATTTGTGTAAACAGTCTGCCTAGTATTAAAGGTAAAACAAACAAAGAAACCTCAAAATATTATATTTGTGTCTAATATTTTCTTTTTGGTTTTAGAAATGTAATCTCACATGGAATCTTTTATGCTTCTTTTGGCAACAAGCTGGATAAAAAGAAAATCAGCTCAAAAAGGTTATGTGATGCACAGTTGTAACAAAAAGGGTCTATAAACACTTAAAGGAGAAAAGACTGTTTAACAAGTCATGTTGAGGGGAGAAAAAAAGCCAAAAGCTTTACACCTGTAAACTGTTTTTCAATAGTCTGTTCTTTTTATAGCAGAAAGTGCTATCGTTGTATTAATAAAGAAATCAGGACTTACTGCTTGCGTAGTCCTAGCAAAAGATTGAAATACTATACTGTAGTGCACTTTCAGTATTGTTTGGATTAGCAAATGCATACAAGAAGTCTACCCATACGAAAAACATAGCAAAAAGTAAGTAAATAGAATAAAAGGCAGAGGTGGTCAAATTTTGTCCTTGTCTGCAATCATGCAATCCAACATGAGTTAGTATTGTTACATAAATTAATAAAGTATGGAATGTGGTCCTTGAGTGTAACACAAGTCCAAAAATGAATTAGTTTTGTCTTTGCTCTGTTGGTAAGACAGTAGGCATCATTCCAGAACTGAAAAATGATCTAGAGCAGTCTCAGTTCTCTTCTAAGCTATTTTGAGAGCAGGAATGTTCTGTGGGCTCTTTTGGCATCTGTTGCTCACACCCACATGTATGCAATGCCCGCTTCTCTCAATATATTCTATTCTAGTACAGGCTGAGAGATGGACATAATGAAGCCACGCAGATTTACATCAGACGGGTGCTTATACACACTGATGGAACACAGCAGCTGGCTTTCTATTTATTTTTGGCCACTTAGGCCAAAAGTCTTGGGCTGTTGAGAATATGAGTATGAGAATGAGTATGAGTATGAGAATAGGGTTTGTTCAGTGAGTTTCCTCTAATAAAGGAGAACTTGAAAATAGGTGAAAAATGCAGCTTCTCGTAGTGTGACGTTCCTAAGGAGGCTGTGTAATAAATGGAGTACCTTGACTTAGGAAAACAATAGAATCAAATAAAGAGATAGTTGATACTTAATGATGCTTAAGGAAATTTGATTATAAGACTAAATCTGAGAAGCTTAAATCTTTGCTAGGAATTTATGAACAGCTTTGAGCCAATTATCTGACACTTACCAGTCAGATTTTGGTTTCTGTGTCTAAAGGTACAATGAAGCCAGACATTCACGCAAGCAATTTGCGTACACTGAAAGGGCATTATGAATGAGGATGAGGAAATGTTAAAAATACATTGGAGATGTTATTTTCAGCTACCAGTCAAGAATGTTATGTTTGCACTTCCTCTTTATTTCCATGTATGTAGCTAGAAAAAAAAATGTGATGGAGAAGAGAATTATAAAATTATCAGGAAGCCCTGGAAGCATTGTGAGCCTTGGTGCTAGCAGGAGTCCCTGTATTGGATGTATATAAAAGAAAACAGCTTAGTGAGGGCTCAGATGAATTGCTCCAGTGAAGAGGTTATTCTCTAGGCAGTTCTGGTAAAACATTTCTCCACATGACCTTCTGGGCATCTTTGAAAAGCAAGTTTTATATGTATTTTAAGAAGGAAATAGTTGACAACTTTCACGTGGTTTCTACAGCACTTTTATTTTTTCTTTTTATCCAATAAAATAGGGTTGCTTACCAAATAAAACATATTTCAAAATATATAATGGACAGTGTTCTTCTAAACATCTGAAATTAGTCTTGAAGCATTTGTGCTGCCTTTTGCTCTTCCCTGGATGGCGATGAGCTGAGTTTATTCAATGCCAGGTAGCAGACTTTACAGGTATTTTAATTATGCTATAAAGGAATTTTCATTTTGTCACTTCCTTAATATTTATAAAGACAATCCATCATCCTCTTCCTGCTTTTCCTTGATTAATGCAAAGTATAGTATAATATCCCAAGTCATACTGCAATTCTAGTCTTAGTTCTCTGTGTTGATAGCGAGACCTAAATTTTGACAGAAAAGATTATATAGTATTGTCAGCTTCAGATACAGTCAATTTCTTACATGTAACTATGTCATTGCACTGAAAAGCAAATGCTTTAGTAGATCAGTTGGGGCTACCGAACTGCTGATATTTATACTGACAGGGGGTAGGGCTGGGTGTGTTAAGGTGTCCTGACAATACTAGTGGTTGTGTTTGTGAGATATGCATCATTTTTTGATCTCTCTGTCTCGCTGGTAAATGATTGTTTTATGTAAATGTATTTGTAG